CTCTCTCTCTCTCTCTCTCTCTCTCTCTCTCTCTCTCTCTCTCTCTCTCTCTCTCTCTCTCTCTATGTACGAGTATATTCCCATACAGGTTCAGGGATTTCCGCCTAAGAACACCCCACAGTAGAACACAGTCCGCCTACGAGCCCGCTTTTACCACTATCGAATATTTTAAACCTATAATTTGCATGCCAAAGAACCCTTTCTCAAAATTAAAAGAAAATGCTTCTAAGAATCTGGATTGGGCCCAAGATCGTAAATTTTTCGGAGCTGCTTTATAAATAGAATCTTGCGCGTACAAAGGGGCTTTTAAACAATCCGCTGGCCATTTATATGAGACTAGCCTGTGCCCCGGAACGGGAAAATAATGTTTTCTAGACAAAAATTAATGTTGCGATGTAAATAAAAATGTTAATTCTGCAGTAATTTAAACAGTTATTTCATTAAAACAGGATGGCTCTATTCTATGTCTGAAAAAAATAAATTTTCACAAATGAAACTCACATAAGACTGGTGTATATCGGCCAAAACCTCGGGATAGTATACAGCATTCCTGGTTTGACAGTTGGGTGGCAAGATGAGAACAGCATCTTTATCTCCAGTTCGGGGCATGGTGGCTACATACAATATTCCATGTGAAAATACTGTTGGGGACATGGCTACATACAATATTCCATGTGAAAATACTGTTGGGGGCATGGCTACATACAACATTCCATGTGAAAATACTGTTGGGGACATGGCTACATACAACATTCCATGTGAAAATACTGTTGGGGACATGGCTACATACAACATTCCATGTGAAAATACTGTTGGGGACATGGCTACATACAACATTCCATGTGAAAATACCGTTGGGGACATGGCTACATACAACACTCCATGTGAAAATACCGTTGGGGACATGGCTACATACAACATTCCATGTGAAAATACACGTACTGTGCATGTGAGATCTGGGCCAACTGTAGGAAGAGACTGTCCCTGAGCTTTATTTTGTAATGGCAGCGCATGGTCTGAGGGGAAATTGTTTTCGTTGGAATAGAAAAGGTAGTCCACTGTCTGTTGGTTGAAGTATAATTCGAGGAATCTCGTGTTTTTCATTCTTGTATGGTCCAGAAAAACGTTCAACCTCGGCGACGTTTGGCATGGTTTGTGTTACAACACATCTTGTACCTTTCATTAATTTTGTTGTCACTGTAATAAACGAATCTGGTCTTCCACACAAACGAACGTATGTGATGGCATCCTGTTGTCTGTCAAACATACAACGTGGTCCACCTGTGAAAGTCGTAGGCAACACACCTTTCTGTCCTATAGTTCTTGTGTCTGATGAACAAACAGCGTCCCGTAGCTCTCTGTAGTTGTCGGCTCTCAATGAACCCTGCTCTCGTCTGACAAACTGTCATCTTTCACTTTCAAATTTCGCGTAGACATCCACAATAAATTGTTGAAGCAAACGGCTGGCAAAGAGAAGGTAGTTTCCTTGTCTTGTGAAGAGATAGAATTTAGAGAACTGCACTGGGGTCACGGTTTTGTTCCTTTTCACAGCTAGACTCCATCCGTCATCTCCTGTTGGGAGTAGTAAGGGATATTGCAGTGGGTCGTATGCTGGGTGCAGTTCACAGATTCGTATTAAGCTGTTCTTTTTGTAACAGATTAGAATATCCCGATGCCCAACTGGTTCATTTGGCTAAAGAATAGCAACTTCTTTCCAGGATGGTGCATTGTAACGTCTCTCGTGCTCACCGAGTGGTCGAGCATTTTCATGAATTGATAATAATAATATGTGGAAATTTTGAAGTCCATTTTAAGTTGCATATTGATATGCAGCCTTTATTTCTTTGATGTATTTGTTGTGTGTTCGTAGACTATCTTGTAACAGATTGATTACCTATCGTTTAAGACTGCAGTCATGTTGCATTGTCATGTGTTGTTGTCATTTTTGGTTTTATTTTGGTCCTCTGAGTCTAAAAAATAAACCTGCAAAAACTGTTCCAACCAAGTGATAAACCTGCAAAAACTGTTCCAACCAAGTGATAAACCTGCAAAAACTGTTCCAACCAAGTGATAAACCTACAAAAACTGTTCCAACCAAGTGATAAACCTACAAAAACTGTGCCAACCAAGTGATAAACCTGCCCTTGCACACGGACATTTGGGTTGCAGCCTTGCAAATTGATCTTTTGACATCCAAAAGTTGTCATTTGAAATGAATAGTTATACCTTCTGATGTTGCTTTAAAAAGTCTCCGAGTTCTGGGACTTACCCATGAAGAGATCTTTAACTTCTGGTGGCAGAGGACGTGGGTATTGACCCAGTTTACGTTTCCCATTCCCCCAGCAAATACCTTTTGTTTGTATTTCCTTGAAACTGTTGTAGCATTTCAATGATTGCACACTTTTGTCGTTTGTCCAATAGAGCAAGTATTGTCAAGACTTAGAGCAGCATCATTGTATGGAAAGGCTGGTGGGTTTCTACTGAGTGTATCTCCATCAGGTTGATCTCCTTCTCCTTCTGTATTCTCAGCGTTCACACCTGATCTAGATCTAGATCTACTCTGCCTTTGTCTCTGAGCCACAGTTGTCATTCGTCCAATGGCTCGCCGTTTGGTTGGCATAGTGATTGAATTCTCATCTAGATCTAGATAGATCTAACTAAAACACACACACACACACACACACACACACACACACACACACACACACACACACACACACACACACACACACACACACACACAACAACACTC